AGTCGATAGACATTATTCGTAAATCACGGGAAACATGATGTGAGATGACCCAAAAGAAAATCTTTTGTGACCCACTTGAGGGCCGCGACCCAGTCTTTGTGAAATGAAGTTTTAGAGGAAACTTCTAGGGTTCACTCACACTAGGGCTGTTGTACCCAAGCACATTTGCCCCCTTTAGTCCAGATTATATTCTGCATGCGAGCTGGCATGATTGTGTAGTAATATTTGCATTGGTTATTTATATAAAATGATGCAGTCAGTATTTAAATGTCACTTTTACAGGAGGGATGAAGATCACGTACGGCCTCAACCTCAATTTGCCCTGTGTTGTCGATGGCTGGCCACGGGCTTCAATCACCTGGACTCTGCCCAACGGTCTTGTTTTGGACAAGCCTCAAGCCATCGGCCGGGTGTCTTTTCTGACCAACGGGACGCTCCAGCTAAGGCAGGTGGCAACCTTCGACAAGGGAACCTACATCTGTAAAGCTCTCAACTCCTTCGGCTCTTCGACGCTGTCCTACCCGGTTGAAGTGATGGTTTTCCCGCCGCGGATCATCAGCACGATGAGCGCCATTACGAGAGTGAACCGGGGATCACCGGTGACACTGAAGTGCGTCGCTACCGGTATTCCCAAGCCAGATATTTCGTGGACATTGCCCGGACGCACGACGCTGGTTCCGCATCACTGGTTCACGGTGCAGGGAGGGATCCACATGACGGAAGAGAGCGGTCTGGTGATCCAGAACCCTGTGCTGACAAACTCTGGCATTTACAAATGCAACGCAAAAAATGCACTCGGCACAGACTTCAAATCTACGTATTTACAAGTAGTCTGAGTGACGACTGGGGGTTTCTTCTGTGACGGAACGATTACCACAGATACAAGACTGTACGACTGTATTTTTCCAACCGGGATCATAATAAAAAAATTGTACCTAACACTTTGGAAGAAGACTTCACACTGCCCTGCACTAAAGGTGGTCCAAAATGACCTTTGGAGCAGATGGTGCAGTGACTTTGACGTCATCGTGGGCACAGATCGTGTGTCGCTCTCTGCTTCAGTGCGCGGTGGAAACACGATATTAAGAATTCATTATAATTAACACCAAGTACCTTCAATGCTGAATTGTGTGACATCTCCGGGGGGGTTGGAGGATGAAGAGGAGGGGCGGGGTTTGTGACGATACCGAAGCTCTAAACAATGTCCAAAATGGAAGATTTTATAACTTATTATCTGTGATATAATATTCATTCTAAACCTGTGTGACCTCCCGTCTCACATTGAATTTAACCAGAGACATGGCTCGCGGTCCATGTAACTGTATATCAGTGGAGACGATGTTTAATTTCGTATCCTACAATGAATTCACCGCAGACATAATCTGTACTTTACAAACCCGTGGAACCACAGGTTTGGTCGGTGTGGATTGATTGGAGTGACACGTCCTTCTGTGGAATAAACTGGAATCTTTTGCGAGGTTGAACCAGTAGTTCTTTATCTTAGTATCTATGTTGGTGTCGCGTTAACGTCCTGAGGTTTGACCCTGTATAACCAAACAACGTACTTTACTTCTTTAGTATCGATTCTTCTTTGGGTTGCAATTAATGTAATACACAGTAAAACTAGCTGAAAGGCAGCTAGTTTTACTGCGTATTAATTAATTCTTCTGAAATCTTCAAAAAGTAAAAAACAAAAAAAAGATAAATAAAACGGAACAGAAAGTGAGCAGAGATTTTACATCAATAAGTCAATGACTGATCTGATTCAGCCATGTTTTTTCGCATGTTTTTTTTTGTTAACTGTTAGAGTTTTTTATATTATATTATCCAATATTTTCTACACACCAGACATTATTCACCAGGATTCACTCCGTGTTGTTTGGGTCACAACAAACAACCATAGATGACATTTCCTCGGCCAAAGAATTCTCCGTCCTTCTCATCTGTGTTGATTTCCTTGAAAAAAAAAACTGAATTTAAATAGCAGTTGCTGAGTCAGTGGTATTTCAAACTTTTCCAAGTTCAAACTGTACATTCTGAAGGTGAAAAACCAGCTGAAGGTTTTAGTTTTTTTTTTCGTGGTTCTCCGTACATTCACATGAGCCGACTGTTGTGTGAATGCTCGCAGTATTTCACTGTCGGCTCGTCTTTGCCAGAATGTGAATGTCCTACTGAGATTCATCTGTAGACAAACAGGCCTTTAGAGTGATGAAGAAGGGAGCTTTGTCAGACACAGGCAATGGGATTGTTTTACCCAGTGTTGGTGTGTGTGTGTGTGTGTGAGAGACAGAGAGAGACTGTGATGTGTGTCTGTGATCCACAGCTGAAAGTCTGTGATGTGTGTGTGTGTCTGTGATCCACAGCTGAAAGTCTGGGAGAGGGAAAAACCAGGAAAAGTGATTATTTCTGTTTTCATTTCCTTTTTATTCAGACAGACGTTGATGGATACGTATTTGACAAGTTTTATTTTTTCTACGTGTTTGTGAAATTTTTTTTTAATTTTTATTATTTGGGTTGCCATTAAACAAATGGAAGCAGAGCAGCTCCAACACCAGCAGCACCTTATATGACTACATTTTCAACAGTAAGTCAAAAATATTTGTACTTTCACATTTGAAAAACAGCAAGGATGATTTAATTTTCATATTTAACTGGAACATTTTTCAACATTTACATTTTTTTAAAAATGTCTCAATATTTAAGCTACAAAGAAAAGAACTATTTTGTTGTATTACTGTTGGAGGGCGGGGGTTCACACTGGTTTCTAATAGAATTATTGTATTTATATTATACTTATATATGTTTACTTACTTATTTCTGCCAAGCCAGGTTATAAAACATATTTTTAGTGACTTCAGTAAGACACAAGCAAAATGATTGGAGAAGAAAAAAGAGGAAAGAAAAAAAATCACAATAACACTAAACTTCTTTCTACTTAAAATGTTAGTTGTTAGTTGTCGTGTATGTAAATGTGGACATCACTGAAAATGTTTTACTGCACAAATTATTCATTTTCAGTTTATTTGGATAGAGTCTTCACATCCCTGAAAGTATTTCCTTAAGGAAAGGTCTGTAGTGTTCACTGGGCAAACCTGTGCATTCTACACTTGTTGACTGATGGAATGTGATAATGTGACCAGCTGATCAGATCACATGACCTGATCAAGTGTGAGAAAATCCAAATGCTCCAATCACAATCACTGTCATCATATTTCTGACTTAACTTTAAAGTGTTTATTTAGACACAGAGATCATTGATTCATTAACATTGGTCCAAGGTGTGAAGAAACTGACACGTTCCAATTTTTTTAAATTTTATCTGATTTTATGAAATGTTTAAAAACGTTACAGATTCATTTACAACTTTTGATATTTTACTCTTTGTGTTTTATTCATGAACTTCTTTGTTAAATTTTCCTTAACTTATTCAAATATTCAGATACATACATACAACTTAGTTTTATTTTTTGTAAAGTTTTTTTTTTTTTTGCTCGTGATATAAACAAACACCTCAATTTTATTGAATAACGACTATTTTTAATATTTAACTTTTTTATTGTAATGTTACTTTATTCTTACACATCTACGACTTTATCGTCCGTGTTTATTTTGACTCTAATACATTTACATCACAATATCTATTCTAATATGTTGCTGTTTTCCTCCCAGACTTCTGCCTTTAAGGCCACAGTCAGCTGTTGAGGCAGCGGTTCCATCCCTCGTCTCCTCCCTCCGTTTCCCTCCCATCACTCACCCATCCATCCATCTTTCCGCCCCCGTCCCCCTCTCATCTTCACACACGCACCGCGTCCTCCGGCACAATGACCAACGACTCTCCGGAGGAGGAGATGCGGGCTCCGTTCAGCGGCGGCGGCGGTGGCGGTGGCGGAGGAGGAGGAGGAGGAGGAGGACTAAGAGGAGGACGAGGCATCACACAAAGGAACCGAACGGACGACAATGTCACCATCCTGACGTCCTCCATGGATCTCCACAGAGTCAGCAGGAGCCGAGCCAGCAGCAGCAACGATTCCGCCCCGAGCCTCACCTCCTCCCTGGAGCTGAGCATTCAGACTCGGATCTTTAAGATCATCGTCATCGGGGACTCCAACGTCGGCAAGACGTGCCTCACCTTCCGCTTCACCGGGGGGAGCTTCCCGCAAAAGACCGAGGCCACCATCGGGGTGGATTTCAGGGAGAAGGCGGTGGAGATTGAAGGGGAGACCATCAAGGTAAAGGCAGCGACAGTGGAGGAGCAGGATGTCGATGGCTGGTGTTTGCTCACCTCCCATCCTCCCCCTTCTCCTCCCACTGTTTCCTCCGTGTTGATGAGCTGCAGCTCTGGGTATAACAACCGTTCAAACCAGGCCCTGACACTGGGAGATCACGACGGGATTATTTATCTTATTTAGTTGAATTCTTTGTTTTGCTGCCCCCCAAAAAACTGACCTATAGTCACTACCTAAAAATATATTTATATATATTTATATGTTTACACATGTTTATATATAGCTACATCTTCATCTTTGTCTCAAATTCAAATTCATAGCATTGCATTTGGACAATTTTCACCAAAACCTCCGAAACATTGAAAAGGACACGCAGTATGAAAATGAAGGTAACAATAGTATAATCACAGTCATTTGTCAACAACACAATAACATGGAGAACTATCACATGTCCACTTTTATGATCCTGTAGTGGGCCATAAAGCTGGGACAAACCAGGAGTAAATTACAAACAACCAATCAGCTGCTGCCGTGGTACAGCTCTGTGATTGTTGCTGTTTAAAAAAATGGCAGAAAAAAAAAACAAAAACAGGGTGACGTGTCATAAACGGACGTCTAATAGTCCAGGTATTTCTTATGTACGTGTGAATGGATGTCTCTGGTCTGTCTGCAACCTCTAGATGACCCCTAATGTCCACACACACACGCGCACACACGGGTACTACACTACAGCTTATCAATAAATCATTACGAGTCACGGTGAAAACGATTCAAAATCAGAGAAATCCTTAAAGTTTTAAACCAGAATCTAATGGAAATATTTACATTATTGGAGCTTTGGTAAACATTTATTCATCCTCCCCTCCTGCCTCCCCCTCGCCCCCATCCCTTGGCTGATAATATATTTGCAGGAGTTAAATATTTAATTTGCCTGAGAACTGTATTGATTTCCATTAGTAGTTGGTGGTTTATATCAGCGGGAAGAGGAGGAAATTCTACTATTTCTTTTGAGGAATATGAGTCAATCATATAAATAACTCTGGCTCAGCATAAATACGTGACAAAAGACGGCCTCACGTGTTTAGATTTTGGACTTTTACTCCTGCCTGCACCGAAGGTTAGCCACATCAGGCTAACACTAACATTCGGCCTCATCTTGAACACTTGAACTCCTTTAGGGGTAAACACCGGCCTTTAGCCCCTGAGACTTATCTTAGCAACCCCAGCATTGCTTCATTTGCATGTGGCACTCCCTCACTCTCAACCCAACTGCTAACTACCAACAATTTTTTTTTAATGATTTTCCAAACGTAACCATAATGTAACACTTCTTTGTTATCTACAAGATAATTTTATATATATATATATTCAGTCATATATAAAGCACAGAGCGCAGGAGTTCAATCAGAGAACATGTTAATGAGGTGATAATGTGTTTTGGGGGAGGCCTCTGTAACCTTTGACCTCCTAAATCCAAGCAGTTAATCCTCACCTCCAGTTGAAGGTCAGGCAGGCATTCCTTATATATATTTATACCTTTAACTGACCTTTTGACCCACAGGTCTGACACATGGATTATTAGACAGTCAGAACTAGATCTACTAGATCAGAACTGGGCAAACTATGGCTCGTGGGCCAGATATGACCTACCAGGTTTAATAATCTGGCCCAACAAAGACTGACACAAGGTACAAGGTTAAGACTGATGTGTTCATTACAAGGAATGACTGAATTATGTTGATGCCACTAGATGGCGGTAGACACCAAATGTTTTTTTTTTTTAAGTTTAGGTTTTTTCTTGTATATTTATTATTATTATTATTATTATTATTTATTATTATAGTAATATATCACAAATATCTGAGAATACCATGACTTTTTTACTCATCAATTCAGGGCTTGTGTCTCGTAAATCTACAATTTTTTTCATTTTAGTTTTTTTATTTTTGTTGTTCTTTTTTGCTTATTCTATGACCATAATTCTCCAGCGTAGTAAGACGTCCTTTGTTTTTTTATAAGTGCTGACAAGCATCTGGTCCTCAATCCAGGCTTATATTTTCTTCCCTCTTCTGCGATGGCTCTCGTTTCTAAGCCTTCAGATTCGGCTCAGTTTGACAGATTTGAATCAGGCAGCAGAGTGACTTCAGTGAAAACAGACCAGAGTTTTTGGCAGCATTAATGCAGGATTTCAGCTCTGGTGTTACACAGTCAGGCGTGTCCTTTCAAATGGTAATATCCTCCTGTCAGGGCAGACATTTTGACGTGTCAGAGCAGAGGGTGAATTAATGATATTAATGCATTCCATATTTGTGAGTCGGGCTGCGGTTCTCTGCCTGTTCACTCACTGGTGCTGACTTACTGGGTCACACAAGGGACTAACGTTACCGTTAGCCCAAACTACGAGACTTCGCCTTCAGAGGAAAAGGCCTCAGAATGAGCTGCAGATATTTTCCTGGACGCTGCAGGCCGACAGTACATCAGTGTCACTTAATTTAAAACTGTCGGCCATTAAGTCATTGGTTGTCCTGCCAAAGGCACTCATTAATGATAAGTGGAAAGGCTTATTTAGCTGCAGAGCGGTGCTCTCCAGAGCTTCAAATGCCTGAGAACTCTTTCCTGTAGCACATGTAGTTCCATTAGCAGCCTCATGTTGAAACAGTTAAAATATATTTGTCGTTTTGTTGGATTTTGCTTTGATTTTACTTTTTAAATTTGGGGCGGGGCTAAGACTGCTGCAGCTCTCACACGAACCGGAACAAAATACTGTTCAGTCTTTGCGAACCAAATGTTATTGGACTTCTGTCCATGTAGCAGTGCAGTATTTTAAAGATAAATGTACACAATTAACTACTTGATTATTTATTGATTTTTGTTCCCAACCCTGTGATTATTCACGATTAGAAACCTCGTCTCGTCTGTTTTCACAGGTGCAGGTGTGGGACACAGCAGGTCAGGAACGCTTTCGCAAATCCATGGTGGAGCATTACTATCGCAACGTGCACGCCGTGGTCTTTGTGTACGATGTCACCAAGATGGATTCCTTCCGTAACCTACAGACATGGATAGAGGTCAGTTGACAATATGGCTTCCACTGACACTCATTCACTGATGATGACTCTGAAGATTCAGTCCAATATCTGCAAATCTAGAGTTTTGAACCAGATTAGAAAAAAGAAAGAAAGAAATATTAATCTCCCTGAAGTTCTCCAAAATGTATGAGTCAACAGCAACCAGACTCATAGGTGGAACTTCCAGTTGCTACTGACTCACATCACATTTGAGAACCATGACAGTAGATAAGTGATTCACAGCCACCGTGCTGTGAGAGGTCATCAGGTCATCAGTGTTGAAAATGATCCGAATTCACTTATCACGTTGTACATTTTTATTTACTACAAATAATGTGTCATTGTCAGTCTGTGTGTCAGTTAAAGGCAGACTAAATGCTATACTAATAATAATATTTAAAAAACAAAACAAAAGGAGACTCGGGGTCTTTCTTCAATTCCTGTGAGTCTTTCAGCATTGTTTTCAACTAAACAGGCCCAGGTTTCACTCTGAGTAATTAGATTGTGAGTAAAATATTTAATTTAGAAGATCATTGTATGATATTACACATATCGTACTGACATTTTTGTTTGGTGGTGTACAGTAAAATACGTGCTGTGGCTCAAAAAGGTTAAGAAAAGTGGTTGAAACAAACTGTCTAACCTCGATTTCTTTACAAATTCGAACCATTTACTTAATATTCACAGTTGCTCGAATTGTGTTTTTTTACAGGATGTACAGTAAAACATAAATAGTTCAAACTTCTATTTCTATTTCCAGGAGTGTAACGGTCATCGAGTCTCGGCTTCGGTGCCTCGAGTCCTAGTCGGGAACAAGTGTGACCTTGTGGACCAAATACAGGTACAGCAGTGTCTGATCCTGTGATTATCCTGTGATTATCCTGTATTTATTGATGATTTGAACTAACCCCAACATTCAAACACAGGTACCGTCCAATACTGCACTGAAGTTCGCTGATTCTCACAACATGCTGCTGTTTGAGACGTCAGCCAAGGACCCCAGGGAGAGTCAGAACGTCGACTCAATCTTCATGTCTCTGGCGTGTCGTCTGAAGGCCCAGAAGTCCCTGCTCTACAGAGACGTGGAGAGAGAGGACGGGAAAGTGAGACTTGCACAAGAGACAGAAACCAAGAGCAGTTGTCCCTGTTGAGGACACTCTGGAGTGGAAGATAAAAAAACTGTCCAGGTCCAGGTTAGAGTACAAAGCAAGAGTAAAGGGACAGTGAAGCCATTAAATGGAGTCGACAGCTTTTGAGTTAAAGGTAGAGGTGGGAGGTTTGGGACATTACATTAATAGCATTGTGATTTTTGTACAAAATAGCGCCGCATGGTGGAGAGCAGTTACAAATATGAATTGTGAATGTGACTGAACTGCCACTCTGTATGTTGAAGGTGAGATCAGGAAGAAGAGAGGAGAGAACCTGAAGAAGAACACGGGGACGAAGGAGTGACGTATTAACAATTCAAAGTTGAGACAATGTTGCCTTTCTGACTCCTGTGTAATAAACAATTGCCTTTGTCGTCATTTGAAACACAATCGGAGAAATTCGGCTTCCTGTGCCACTCCAGTACAAACGTCAACATAACGCCGTCTAACCCGACTCTCGTGAAGCCTGCCATCCTGACCGCCGCGTGATAAACTATTACATCACATCCTGTTTGTTACCGTTTTCACTTTCCGTCACATTCTCACCAAACATTCTACTACTGCCTTAAAGCGACACGTACGCATTAGCGGGAAAAATAGAGCAAATAGAAACTGTGGCGTTTGAACGTATTTTTAAATTCTTGTTTTTCTTCTTTAAAGCAACCTTTTGAAGTGAGATCTCTAAAATTTAATACGTAAACGTACCTCATATTTGGACTTCGTGTGTAGGACCACCGACTTTTAATCACTGTGAAAATACAAATACAAATTGGTGGGAAAAGTGAGAATTACAGTAGGTGGCGCCGGTCGAGGTCAGATGACCTACAGTGAGACCTTGCAGCGTGGCACGTATTGATTCCCCCGGCTGTGAGATCCTCTTACAGGAGAAGCAGGAGAGACGCACTCAAGGACGGAGCCGCTCCATTACAGCTGCTGTGTCTGTGTCCAAACCTGACGTCCATCTGTGTCCTCCGTGTTTTCTGTGTGGTAGAGTCCAACCTTATCAAACCGTTCTATTTGTGTTAGCACAAACAACATCATCTTCATCACCCACACTCCCCCTCCTCGTCCTTAATCTGCAGTACATTTCATAATCTGTAATAAAAAATTTCAAGGTATCGCTCTTTGGTCTGTGATGATTTGTTGTCTCTGTCTCTGTCTCTACCTTTAAGAGGACAGGAAGTAGGACCAGAGTAATGAACAGACCATGGTGAGAGCAGGGTAAAAAAACAAACAAAACTAAAGTAAAGGATTTTCTCTGCAGAGTTCAAACCAGTTCTACATCTGGATTAAATGACTGAAGAGTCCAAGGAAGCTCAAACAGGAAATGAGTTAAAGAAGATTCAAGTTGTATACCCCAAGGAAGCTCAAACAGGAAATGTCTGAGTTAAAGAAGATTCAAGTTGTATACAGTACATACAACAGGAACATGATCCACACAAGAACTCAGTCTGTTTCAGCTCCATTGATTTAAGTGGTTGGAGGAAAATGGTATTAATTTAGATAGTAACAAATGATGATTTATTTATTATCTACTGTATTATTAATTCGATTTTAAAAAGCCTTTAGATTTCTCTCTGTTTCCATTTAGAAATACTTTAAAATGTGTGATACATTCACACACAAATCTAAAAGTGAATTATTTGTGAATGAGTAAATATGTGATACTTGTTACTATACTATACTATACTATAAGAACTATACTTTTTAATGCATGTACTGCAGTCAGGGTTTCTTGAAGTTTAACCTAAATAGATGATCCTTGTACTGTAAATGATGTGTCCCTCAAGTACCAAGATAATGAAGTTTTCAGTTCCTCGTCTGGTTTGGCCATCATCTGTCCTGTTTCCAGACAAAGTTTTATTTTGTTTTTCCATTTCAGGCTGTTGTGCTCACACGAAGCTCAACTTTCATGTCTGTTTTTCCAGTCTCTTGCTCTGTGCTTTTTTTTTTAATTTCCCAACATTACATTTCCCTTCACATACATATGAGTTAATGAACCAATCCAAGCCAATGCCTGTGCCATGTCTCTTATGTTTCACTGACCTCAATCATTTCTTTCCTCTCCTTCGGCCCCACAAGTATTTTTCACTACGTCTCCTTTTACCAACTTTGTTGCTTTTTACGGAATGTGGCTCAAGAAAATACTGTTGTTCTTCTTCATGATAAGATTTTAATTATTTTATTGAGGAAAGCTGCATTAAAATAATGTTATTTAAAGCTGGGATAGCATTCCCAAAACGTAAACCTAGACTGGTTTGTGAGATATCCTGGTGATAACAAATGTTCCTGTGTGGAGAAGCATAATTTGAAGTGGACGACAAGCACGGGCGAGTCAGTGATCGAGAATATACACATCTGATGCGGGTGATTTCAATATCAAAAAACGGTTTTATAACATATATGATGTACACGTGCCAGAGGGAAGTCTATGCTAAATCATTCAGCTCCCTCTGATATAGAGGGAATATTAATTTGAAAATTTGCTTTTGACTGTAGGCAAAATAGGTAATTACTCTGTTTTAACTAAAAAAAGAAACATTTTTCTTTAACTTATATACCCCAAACTAAACACTAGTGTTGTATTTATTTTAGACTAGAGCTGCATTAAGAAGAACTGACTCTGTGTAAAGTTTTGATAATATCAGTAGGATTGAGTTTTGAATTGTGTGTTTAAATATATAATTATTGTTATGTATCTTCTTGCTAATAGCTACTAGGTAATTGTGTGTGACTGTAAAACTGTTTTTGAAGTTATGCTAATTTTGCTAACATTTACGATGATCTCTTAGATCTTTTAGCCATTTCCAAACTAACATTTATTTTTAATTTTGGTTAAAGCTATGTTTCGACTTTTCGTTTATGGTTATGTTGTTGCTAATGTTAGTCGCTTTTGCTAAACGTTATAATTATTAATAATAACATTGCTAATGGCAGTAGTAGTAGTAATCATATTTTGTCTGAACATTTGTGTAGTGGTGTTGTTTTCCGACCTGACCTGTAGAGAGCAGCAAGAAGAACCTTACACGAGTTATGGTCACCCTAGCCTTCAGTAGAAGAAGAACGCGGAAACGTCACATATAGTGATGGAACCAGCTTCAGCTGCTTCACCACTGATCACATAACACAACTAGCCACCACAGGCTAACCTGGCTATAGTTACATGTCTCGCTGTTGATTTAATTTATGTTTGCGGTTGCATGCCTGGTCAAAACAAAGACAGAAACCCTACACAGAAACACGGGCTACGGTGAAAGACGGATTTTGTAGCCACGTCCCGGGTTCTACTGACAGGTTATTTAGCTATCCTAGCCAAAGAGAGCACGGTGATTGGGCTAGCGGCAGGTTAGCCAGCCAGGTGCTTAGCTCGCTGGCTAGTAACTTGCGTCATGGACGAACTAGCCGTGGAAGTGAAAGACACATGTGGGGCCTTTTATAAGGTAAGAAATGCACATTTTTCGACCTTTGCCGTAGCACTTAACAGAACATGCACAGCGGTTAAGCTAACTAATGTGCAGCCGCGTCGCCAGAATAGCAGAGGAATATTTGATTGCATCCACGGGCCTCAGTGGTTCTGCCCAACCTCCACCGGGACGAGGAGGCTGAAAATCTGTAAACAAAGCTACACGACTAATGCGGATGCTGTGTAAACCCGGTTCCTGCTGGGCTAGTTTACCAGTTAATATTGCGATCCCACCAATGTAATGTGTTCGTGTTTATGTAAGTAACCGTAAAATGATAGCAGTGCCACGGGCTGCAGGTTGCAGATAGTAAAAGTGTTAATGTGGGCAAAAATGTGATTTTGTTTTTTTTTTCGTCAAAGTTGGTTTATTCATGAAACAGTGTTGGGGTGTTAATTAACGCCGACACATGTATGTCCTCTCATGTAAACGGTATATATATGTATATGTGATAGTATGAATTTTGATCACCGGGGGTTCCTTGAGGACAGCATGATGGATAAGATTGAATGAAGAAATGTGTCCTCGGGAGAGAATCTGTAAATGTTTGATGTCTACTGTCCGGTCCAGTGTATTTTAACATTTTGCTGTAGAAATACTAATAAATATTGATCATATTTGTTGTCTGTCAATGATGTTTATGGTTTGAATGGGAAAATTAACATACCCTCATGCTCCTGCTGTGTAAGCGGCCATTCTTTGAGGGAAACGAAATAAACGAGCTAAATATTAAACACAATAAAGATAAAGGGACAGTCTTATATCTTCTGAACTTAAAGAATAAAAGGTACGAGTTGTGGTTCAACACCTGAATGTCAGCATCAGGTCCTCTTACTAGGCTAATCTCTTCATTTATATTGCAGCACCTTGTACAGGTAGTGGACGTACAGTAGTACAACTTGTTTGAGCAGCGCCAACTATTGTTCATAAGTTTAACATTTGTAAAATCATCATTTTAAGACGATGATTTTTTTTTTTAAAGTAAGCAATCAGACCTTTCCAAAAGAACAAGAAATATTTGTGTCTAGAGAAAATTTCCAATTTGGTGATGCCCATGAGCAATGGATCAGGCATGCCATTTCAGTACTGCCGGTTCAACAGGTCTGCGGTGTGAGAAGTTCAGCATATGTGATAACTAAACTCTAATAGAGCATGGCTATGGGATATAAATAAATATAAATATCTATCTCTGGAAGTATGGCCGTGTCACGTGAGTTTGATCACGCTGACTTGGTCGTAAAACACTACAGCCAGCTCCCACTCGGATGTGGTGATGATTCATTGTGTGCAACCAAAGCTGTGTGTTAAAAAACACATGAACAAAGGAACACTGGGTGTGAACACACACACACACACACACAGCTGTGGGAGGTTGTTCTCACACTGTCTCTGGTCAGGTCTGGATTTATGGAAGTAATTTAAGGATAAATGTTCAGTTAAGTGGTGGAATTAAAAAATAATAAATAAATGGCACCAGGATTAGGATTTTCTTGTGATGCCTCTAGTCCTGGAAGTTTTTTTTCTTTTTTTTTCTTTTACACATTTAATGTCTTGGTGGGTTTTAAGCTAAATTGGCAAATGCCCCCCATAGGCTGGAGTCTCCACCTTTTTTCTTTTCCTCTGAGGCGTTGCATGTCCTACTTTCAGTTCTTGATACGCACAAGGAAAAGAATAATAAGTAGACAGAGACAAGGCTGAGTCTGAAAGGAGCTCAAAACAAAACAAAAAAAAGACTTGTGATTATTTGTCATTTTTTTATACGTTTTTGGTTGGATTGCACTTTTCTTTTTTTCAATCCATCTGTTGTTATTAACTGTAGACGACACAGAGTTCCTAGTTGTAACATTTACCAAACCCTTTTCTCACAGGCATTTGTTAAAGATGTTCACGAAGGATCGGTCACTGTGGCGTTTGAGAATAAGTGAGTAATGTTTGGGCACTATAGATCATAACGTCCTCCACAGCCGTACAGTTCCCATGATGGAATTCACACTCACTTCTGTGTCTGTGTCCTAGTTGGCTGCCGGAACGTCAGGTCCCTTTTCAGGATGTGCGATTCCTTCCTCCTGCAGGGTTCTGCAAGGACATCAATGAGAACGATGAAGTGGAGGTGAGAACCATTCTGTTCCTGTTGGTTTGTCAAAGGGACCATTCAAATCTGGCAATACGATACGTATCACGATACAAGGGCCACAATACAATATATTGCAATGTACTCTGATACTATAGGCACGATGATATATTGAGTTTTTTTAAATATGTAGATGAGAGTTTTTTTTTTGTCTGGATTTGCAGTTTTTCTTTGAATTTTGCTGAGTGAAAATTGTTGCATTTTTGCAGGTTTATTCCAGGGCCAATGAGAAGGAACCCTGTGGGTGGTGGCTGGCTACTGTTTGCATGGTTAAAGGAGAGGTACGGCTCATTTATCTTGTTGTGTATGTTGACTAATGTTCACCTGGTGACATTTTTAACTGTTTCTCTAAAATTAACAGTTTTTGTAAAAAAAAAAAAAAAATTGGTGACATTTTTCTCTAAAATTTTTGTAAAAAAGAAAAAATCATTGCTTGATTTTTGGTTTCTTTATAATGCTATTTCAACCTCTTTTTTTTTTCTTTCCTTTTTGTCTATAGTTCTATGTCATAAAGTACGCTGCCTGTGACGCTACATTAAACGAGATCGTCACACTGGACAGGTTACGGCCAGTCAACCCGAACAAACCGGCCACTAAAACCACCTTCATCAAGATCAGACTAGACATCCCTGAAGATCTGCGGCAGATGTGAGTTTGACCCAGAGACACAAAGACGTTTTTTTTATGTCTCTCTCGTGTCCATTTAGTTTTAAAAAACAGAAGAAAACCAGACATGTAGCTTTTGTAAAAAAAAAAATGGTAATGAATCTACATCTTAAATATTTTTGGTAGGTGTGCAAAGGAGTCGGCGCACAAAGATTTCAGGAAGGCAGTGGCGGCGTTCAGCGTCACCTATGACTCTGAGAAAAAGCAGCTGGTCATTTTGGTATGTTCATTTTTATTTACATTTAAAAAAAATTTAAAAATTAATTTTGTTTTTGGATGAATGTGTATTGTATTGTATTTATTGTATTGATCGTGTTTCCTGATGTCTTGAGACTTTGTGCACATCATCTCGTGGCATCATTTATGGAAGTTGTCGACGTCACATGATGTGGAAGTTGACGTCCTCGTCTTGGTTCGATCTCTGTCTTTGCAGTCCGTGAACGAGGTCACAACCAAGAGGGCCAACATGGTCAGCGACATGCACTTCAGGAGTCTCCGCACCAAACTGTCACTCATGCAGAGAAACGAAGAGGCCAGCAGACAACTGGAGGTAAACGTCACCGTCCACACAGACGATGTGTTTGTTTATCGGCTGATGTTTTGGTTGCTTTGTTTTCGCTAAAGACTGAAGTGTGTGTGTGTGTGTGTGTCTGCAGAGTTCCCGGCAGCTTGCGTCAAGGTTTCATGAGCAGTTTGCAGTTCGAGATGATTTAATGGGCCTGGCCATCGGAACACACGGCGCCAACATCCAGCAAGCTCGAAAAGTCCCCGGAGTGACCAACATCGACCTGGATGAAGAAACCTGCACCTTTCACATATATGGAGAGGTAATCTGTATGAGAGCTATGAGATGAGGCAGTAACTTAAAAAAACAAACAAACTTACATGTTGGTTTGGTTTGTCTCAGGACCAGGAGGCTGTTCGTATCGCCAGGGGTTACCTTGAATTCTCTGAGGACATCATCAAAGTTCCTCGGAATTTAGTTGGTGAGAAATGATTTGATATATGACTCTGAATATTCATACTGTTTCTTATAAAGATATTACACTACATAAACTGTGGACTGTAGTAGAGATGCATTAACACTGACCCGTACTTCATTCAAATCCTCGTACTTTAATTCAGTGTCTGGGTACTTCATTGAAGTAGGTCAACAATGTTTTAACATCAGGCTAATGCTTTAGTGCTGTGTTAACGTGGTTTACAAATGAAATTCCAGTGTTGGTCTGAGAACAGGCTGTGAGTGTAGCTGTCGACTGTTGTCTCTACAGGGAAGGTGATTGGCAAGAACGGCAAACTGATCCAGGAAGTGGTCGACAAGTCAGGTGTGGTGAAGTTAGTTTTTGAGCCAATACTTTGGTGTAATTGGTCGATACTATGCTAACTTAAAACAAGCTAAACTATTCTCCTTGGATCCTTATTTATTAAGGCTTTAAGATGTTAATTAGAAAGGTGATAATTTGGGTCAATTAATTGCTTTAATAGGGTATTTTTTTGCAGTGATATCCATCTATAACATATATTTTCTATTGTTTGACAGGGAATGGTGCCGTTCGTTTTCGTTGGGACCAAGGAAAGCATCTCAAACGCTACAGTACTGCTGGACTATCATCTCAACTACCTTAAGGTCCAAAAAAAAATCACAGATTCTTCTTTATTACATTAAAGTCCATATCTGCCCTGACCTTTAGCTAACAGATCGTACAGAACACCAGGTCGTCTCTGTTCCATCTCTGTTTCCTTTTTATTGCAGAGGTGCTTAGAATAAAAAAGCATAATATACATGACACGTTCAAGGCATTTTC